TAAAATAAAATAAAAGAAAAGAAAAGAAAAGAAAAGAAAAAGAAATAGCTCCCTGCAGAAACCGGTGTGGCTCAGTGGGTGGAGCGTCAGCCTGAGGACTGAAAGGTCCCAGGTTCGATTCCGGTCAAGGGCATGTACCTTGGTTTCGGCACATCCCCGGTAGGGGGTGTGCAGGAGGCAGCTGATCGATGATTCTCTCTCATGGATATTTCTAACTCTCTATCCTTCTCCCTCCCTCTCTGTAAAAAATCAATATAAAAAAATTTTTTTTAAACAAAGAAGAAATAGCTCCCTATTCCTCCCTCTCCAGCCCCAGACAACCACCACCCTGCTTCCTGTCCCCATGAACTTGACTATTCTGGGGAGCTCGTAGGAGTGGGATAACTCAGTATCTGTCCGTTCACGACTGGCTAGTGTAAGTAACTCAGGGTGCTCCCAGGGTTCGGCCACGTTACGCATCCGTCAGAACGGCGCTCCTGTTAAGCCTTTCAAACAGCCAGGGGATGTGCGGCCCACATGGCATATCCACATCCGTCGGTGGACACTGGGCTTCTTCCATCTCATGGCTCCCGTGAATAGTGCTGCTACGAACGCTCATGTTCAGGACCCGAGTGCATCCTTGCCGTTCTTCAGGGTATGTGTTTAGGAGCGGAATTGCTAGATCTCACGGTGTCTCTGTGGGTTTTTTTTTTTTTTTTTGAGGACTCTCCGTACTATTTCCCACAGTGGCAGGAGCCACCAGCCTTGAGCCAACAGCCCAAGGTGTCCCAATTTCCCACATCCTCACCCACAGCTGTGTGTTGTCGTTGATTGCTTGTTTTGTACAATAACCACCCTAACAGTGTGACTCGGGGAACATTTTAATGAGGTTTGAGTTGAATGTTTTTAGTCTCTGAAGCACCTTCACACCCCTTTCCCACAGCTCAGTTTGAAAGCGGGGCTGGGCTTCTTACCCCCAAGCCCGGAGCGTGTGACTTAGAGTAAACCGTCCTTGGCTCAGCTCCAGGAAGCGAGAGGGGGGCTGCCTTCAGGCTGGAGGTGAGACCAGGAGAGAAACCCTGTCTCCCCTCACGAGGGAACCAGCCACCCCCAGCCCCACCCTTTCCCTCTCTCTGAGCGAAATTGGGTTGTGAAGACGAGAAGAAGGGGCAAGGGGGGACGGAGATTGCAGTTTGTGAGGTCACCCTCCTCTCTCATGTACTTGCTTTGTTGTTACATTTTCACTCTTTTCCTTTGCGCAAGAAACATATATTTTCTTGTCCTAAGTAACTTCAATACAGAAGTGCATCGAGTAAAACTGCAAAGGTGCCCTTCACTGCCCTCCCGGAAAGTCACCGTCTCTCAGCCTGTCCCCTCCAGCCTCTGCGCATGTGCATGTGGTCATACACGTGATCACACACGTGGTCACACACACGGGGGCGCTGTGCTTTCGTTTTCCCACAGGTGGGATCTTGTCCTGCCACGAGGTGTCCCACTCAGCTCTCAGCACTCACAGAGCCACTCCTTCACGTTAAGGCTGAATATTCCCCCGTTGGGTGACAGCCCATTGCTCTGCCTCCTCACCGGCTCTCCCGTCTCCCGCCTTACCCCCGGCTGGATAATAAACACCCTGAGGGCATCTCTCTCAGTCTCCAAACACCTGGTCCACTATCTTCCTGCCGGTGAGAGTCAGAGCAGTCACTGACGGAGGAGTCTCCCCCCTTCCCATGGGGATCCATCTCGGTGCTCCGGCCGCCGGGGGTGGACCCTCTGAGGGCGGAGGGACCGCACCGCAGTCTCTCCGAGCGTGGCTCTTCTGTCTGACGGCACGGGGACCAGTCCAGGGAGAGGTGGCTGTTCCCGCGTTCCCTCGGCAATGTTCTCTGGGTTTGGATGGCGCCCAGCTCAGGCCCCGGAACAGCAGCCGGGAGCTCGGGTACCTGCAGCCATCTGTTATCCCGTTGTCTGCCCACCTGGGAGACCGGGCAGAGCTGTTAACGCCGTGCTCCTGCAGGACCATTTTCGGGGCTTCTGATGGTGTTCGCAGACTGTGGAGCGGGAGCAGCCACCATGTGCCCAGACACGCTATTAATAACCCTCCCAGGCTCCTCGCGGCCGTCGGAGCTACATGAAACAGCACAACCGAGCCTGTTCCCGGCCCTTCGGTGGGAGAAATTGCTTCAATATGAGGCCTCGCCTCCAAACAGAGCAGCCGGATCCGGGCAATCGCTCTGAAGCAGATGCCGGCGCGCAGACCTGTTGATAGCGCCAATGAGTGTCGTCTCGGCCTGGTGAGCTCCCGGTGCTTCCGAATCTGCCCGGCTTCCTGCAGCCGCTGGAAAAATCCCCCCGCGAGGGAGCAAAGGAGGAACACCTGTCTCCCAGATGTCTCCTGCGCTGGGGAGGGATTCACACCGCGGCCCTCGGCAGGAAACCGGATCGACGAGAGGAAAGCGAGCCGTCGGAACGAGGCTGAAATCAGTCTGCGTCCCTTGGCCGATCATGCACAAGGGGAAACCTTCTAATCAATGGGCTTAATTAATATTGATTATGAAAACTCTGAAAAGCTTACAGCTTACAGCTGAATTGGGGAACTAGGTCACCCACATATGAACAATAGGCGATCAAGCCCAGGCAGACGCCCATTGCAGGTGGAGAGGGAACATCCATTGGGATGGAAGCTGTGCTTCCGAACGGGGTGGTCCTCGCCTTGACACAGGTCGGAGGGACCGGCCTGGCAGGCTGCTCCCCGGGGGAAGACAGAGCAGTGCCCTCCGGGGACCCCGCCTGCCCTCCGGGGACCCCGTCTGCCCTCCGGGGACCCAGCCTGTGTGCCTTTGCTGTCTCGCAGGCCTGAGTACTGTCTTCCTCTGTTGGGGGTGGGAGGTCCCCAGTCTGCCTCTGTCTCTGCCACCTTCCTTACCTTGAAATGGCCATGACCTTGAACGACCTTGATTACCCTTCTTCTACCCCCACCAAACCCACTACCTCACCCTCTTTTTGTTGTTTTGTTGTTGTTTTATTCCAGAGAGGAGAGGGAGAGGGAGAGAGGAGCAGAAGCAGCAGTGATGAGAGAGAATCCTCCATCAGCTGCCTCCTTCCTGCGTGCCCCACCCTGGGGATCCAGCCCCCAAACCTGGCATGTGCCCTGATGGGAATCAAACCCTGACCCCCTGGTTCATGGATCCATGCTCAACCACTGAGCCACACCGGCCAGCCCTCACCCTGCTTTGCTGAGAAAGTATTGCTGGCAGGTGAAAAAGATACCTCAATAGAAGCGGGAGAAAACCTAGAACACGTCCTGTCAACAACAGTTAGAGTGTTTGTGTAAATGGTCGAAGCATGCCTCCAAGGCCGGCTGGGGTTCCCGGCAGGCTCCACCCCATGCGCCGGCCCTGGGGTCCCCCGCACCCAAGCCGGTGTTCCTGTAGACAAACATTTTTTCAGGCCAACCTTGGCAAGCATATATATATATATATATATATATATATATATATATATATATATGTATATTAGAGACCCAATGCATGAAAATTCATGCACTGGAGCAGGGGGACGGGGGGCGGGGTGTCCCATCAGCCCAGCCTGCCCCCTCTCACAGTCTGGGAGCCCTCAGGGGCAGAAGGTGATCTGGTGATCAGGGGAAGGCGACCCCCCATCACACCTCTGCTGCTGCCACTGCCGGCAGCGCAAGCCTGGGCCGGCCTGGTTACCTGAGCATCGGGCGGCCCTGGGCTGCTGGGAAGCTGCCATCTGAGGCTTGCCTGCTCCTCAGGCGGCCCTGGGTGGCTGGGGGGCTGAGGGGACTGGGGGACTCAGGAGGCAAGCACACAGGGCAGGCCCAGCAGGGCTGAGGGGACTGGGCACCGCCATCTTGTGGCTCTGGGCGCCGCCATCTTTGAGGGTGGGGCAGTCAATTAGCATATTCCCTCCTTATTGGCTGTGGGCATTGCCATCTTTGCGACGGTGTGAGGGTCACTTAGCATCGTCCCTCTTTATTAGCTGGGGTGGCTGCAGACCGTGGGAGTCCACAGGGAAAGATGAAACCTGCCCGGCACTTGGTGTTTTCTTTCAAGAGGCACTCCCCTGCGGAATATTCCGCTTTGGCTGCTAATTAAAGAGGGGCCCAACGGCCCGGGGCAAACGGGGTTTCCTTCTGGCCAAGCCCGTCTCTCCTGGAGAAACAGGCCCAGCTGGGCCCCGGGTCGGCCTCTTCGCCGGAGCCCGCCGCCCCCTGGAGCCCCCCGGAGCCTGCCGCCCCCTGGAGCCCGCTGCTCCTGTGGTTTATGGCCTGCTCCCCGGAGATCACTGCTCCCTGGAGATCACTGCTCCCCGGAGATCACTGCTCCCCAGAGCCCGCTGCTCCCTGGAGATCACTGCTCCCCGGAGATCACTGCTCCCCAGAGCCCGCTGCTCCCCGGAGCCCACTGCTCCCCGGAGATCACTGCTCCCCAGAACCCGCTGCTCCCCGGAAATCACTGCTTCCCAGAGCCCCCTGCTCCCCCGAACCCCCTGCTCCCCGGAGATCACTGCTCCCCGGAAATCACTGCTCCCCACAGCCCCCTGCTCCCCAGAGCCCGCTGCTCCCCGGAGCCCGCTGCTCCCCAGAGCCCCCTGCTCCCCAGAGCCCACTGCTCCCCAGAGCTCCCTGCTCCCCGGAGCCCGCTGCTCCCCGGAGCCCGCTGCTCCCCGGAGATCACTGCTCCCCAGAGCCCACTGCTCCCCAGAGCTCCCTGCTCCCCGGAGCCCGCTGCTCCCCGGAGCCCCCTGCTCCCCGGAGCCCACTGCTCCCCAGAGCCCCCTGCTCCCCGGAGATCACTGCTCCCCGGAGCCCGCTGCTCCCCAAAGCCTGCTGCTCCCCGGAGCCCGCTGCTCCCCAGAGCCCACTGCTCCCCGGAGCCGCTGCTCCCCGGAGATCACTGCTCCCCAGAGCCCACTGCTCCCCAGAGCCTGCTGCTCCCCGGAGCCCGCTGCTCCCGTGGTTTGGGTCTGGTCCCCTCACCTTCCCTGTGTTCCTTCCCCAGGGGGTGCGAGGCCCAGCCATCCGGACGCTGGCCCAGCCGCCCAGGACCGTGCACGCCCGGGTCCCTGCTCTCCTGCGGACACCAGCGTCCACCCGGCCTGGCCGGACCGCACGGCCCCCCGCGCTGCGGGCGTATGAGGTGGGTGAGGCTCCGGTGGAGAGGAGGACGGCAGGGGATCGTCAGGTACAGTCTGTGGACGTGCGTCCTCTGACGTTACTCCAGTGCTGGCTGGATCCAGCGGGCCCAGAGGCAGTGTGCAGCTGCCTCTGCGGCAGGTGCCTTGGCCTGTCCGGGATTTCCTGTCTGGCTGGGGGTGGGGGTGCACCCAGGAGCTCAGGGGTGCTGGGCCAGGCCGAGCTGAGCTGTGCTCACCGCCCTGGACAGCGAGGAGGCCCAGCCCCCGGGCCCCCACCACCGGGCTCTGGTGTGGGGACCAACCCTGCCAGGAAGGGCGGGCACCTGCCACCCAGGGGACGGCCTGTCTGCAGCGGGGCCCAGGCCCCGTTCTTTGGGGACGGCCAGGCCAGGCCGAGGGGTGAGCATTGACTGCACCTCCGGTTTCTCAGGTGCCGTTAAGTCAGGGCCTTGGGACAGAGGGAGGGGGAGGAGGGGCCTACCAGCTGCTCTCCCCAGAGAAGCAGCCTGGGCTCCTGGGCTGTGCCAGGGGGTGTTCTGGGCGGCAGGCCCCTCCCAGGGACCCACCACCCTCACCTTCTTCCTGGAAAGACCCACAGCCACAGCACCAGGCTCCCTGCCTCTGGCTCCAAAGACCTGCCCCCGTCCCCCTCCGCTTCCCCGAGGAAGCCCCACGGCCACACCTCCCGTGCTCCCCCTGCTCTTCCCCCTCCCCCTGCTCCCCCTCCCCCTGCTCCCCCTGCTCCCCCTGCTCCCCCTGCTCCCCCTCCTCCTGCTCCCCCTCCCCCTGCTCCCCCTGCTCCCCCTACTCCCTCTGCTCCACCTCCCCCTGATCCCCCAGCTCCCCCTGCTCCCCCTCCCCCTGCTCCCCCTGCTCCTCCTCCCCCTTTTCCCCCTGCTCCCCCTGCTCCCCCTGCTCCACCTTCCCCTGCTCCCCCTCCCCCTGCTCCCCCTGCTCCTTCTCCCCCTGTTCCCCCTGCTCCCCCTCCCGCTGTTCCCCCTCCCCCTGTTCCTCCTCCCCCTGTTCCCCCTGCTCCCCTGCTCCTCCTGCTCCCCCTGCTCCCCCTCCCCCTGCTCCCCCTGCTCCACCTCCCTCTGCTCCCCCTGCTCCCCCTGCTCCACCTCCCCCTGCTCCTCCTGCTCCCCCTGCTCCCCCTGCTCCCCCTGCTCCCTGCTCCACCTCCCCCTGCTCCACCTCCCCCTGCTCCCCCTCCCCCTGCTCCCCCTGCTCCCCCTCCCCCTGCTCCACCTCCCCCTGCTCCCCCTGCTCCCCCTGCTCCCTCTGCTCCCCCTGCTCCCTCTGCTCCCCCTGCTCCCCCTGCTCCCTCTGCTCCCCCTGCTCCCCCTGCTCCCCCTGCTGCCCAGCTCTTTGGTACAACACTAGAAATGTAGGCAGTCCGTGGGTTATGTCGTTTCGTGGTTACATTGCCATTTCTCTCTTTTTTTTTTTTAAGTTCTGTCATTCTGACGTGTACACATTTGCTCTATGTTTTTTGTTATTTATTTACCACAAGTAAAGGTCGGAAATCATTCTCTTTCTTTTAACTGTTTTACTGTGTCATTTCATCACTGCTGTGTGTCCTCCATGTGGGTGACGGAGGTGGGTCCCAACTTACATTGTGCTGCAGCCCGAGGACCTGCTATTCGGAGCTCCCGGAGAATGAAATAAGAAACAAAGATGTGCAGCCCGGCCGGGTGGCTCAGCGGCTGAGCGTCCACCCAGGAACCAGGAGGTCACTGGTTCGATTCCCGGTCAGGGCCCAGCCCGGGTTGCAGGCTCCATCCCCAGTGGGGGGCGTGCAGGAGGCAGCCGGTCCATGATTCTCTCATGGATGTTTCTATCTCTTTCTTCCTCTCCCTTCCTCTCTGAAATCAATGGGAAAATATATATTTTTAAAAAGACTTAGAAAACGCAAGTCGGGTTCCTTTTCATTAGCTCTTCCGACAAATCAATCCGTCCTTTGTGATCCCCGCTCTGACGACCGGCTCTCCCTGGCGGGGGTTTGTGAGGCCGCTCTGTGCACCCAGGGTTCCGCTCCCGGGCCCCGCCCCTCGCACTTCCCGGGAGCGTGTCAGGTCTCCGGCCACCGAGGCCCCGGCCAGTGCCAGCGCTGACGCTCAGCGTGGGCTTCAGCCCCGCGCCCTGCCCCGGCCCTCCCGCCAGCTGCTGGGCCTGGCAGGAACTGGGTCCGGGGCCGTGACGCTGTCTTCGGCCTGGAGGACACGGTGCCTCTCCCTCGGGTTTCCCGTTGCATGAGATCTAAGTGGAGCATCAGCCTCTGGTTTCCGTCCCTGGCCCCTGACCCGCTGCAGAGCCAGGTGTGAAATCTGGGCTGTGGCTGCCAGGCGGTGAGAGTGCTTCTTCTATTGCATCCACCGCCTCTCAGTTCCCTTTAAACGTCACTCCTGGCGAGACTCTTTGGACGGCCTCACAGGAAAGCAATGAGCAACACCTCCTGAGAACCGAGGGGGAGGGGGGCCTTAAGTCTTTTGTCTGTACAGGGGGCGCACTCCTGCACTGCTAAGCCCTTGGAGAAAACTGGCTTACCCGCAGCCTGAAGTGTCAGGTCACAGCGGCATCTAGTGGCCGTTGGTGATGGAGCGGCTGGAGTGGACTAGACGGAAAGTTATAATACAGTCGTTTTCAAGGGCTGAATTTCATCAGATCTAAGACTCAGGCTATTTTCCTGCTTGGCACGTTTTTTAAATGGGGATGTGGCTTGTCATGTGTGGCACGTCATCTTCTTATTTTCCAGCGATACTTTGTCTTACAATCATGACGTCTTCGTTTCGTCAGAACACGATCTTTGATGTGGAATTCTGTAGGATGTTCACTGAGGAATTCATTGTTCATTGGTCACCTGCTTCGTACGCGTTGACTCACTGCATGCATTGCATTTGTTGCGTGTGATTGCATTGGACTCAAGACGTAATCACAGTGCCTGTGAGGCAGACTGTTCTCCCGGAGGCTGCATTAATGCACGGCATCCATCAGACCGAGCCCAGGGCTTAAAAACCCGTTACTGCCCAGGCTCAGCGGTCCTCAGCCCGGGGCCTGGGGCATCCCCTGCAGAGTGTCCCCTCCCCGCTGGCCCCCTCCAGTGGGTCCGCCGTGGGCCCCACATTAGGAATCGTCAGAACCTCCCCGGCTCTTACAGTCCACCGCGCAGCTCAGCCGAGAGCTTTGTCCTTCACTCACGTCAGATGCTTTCGAGGTATATGGGTTTGCCCAGCCCGTGTGGCTCAGTGGATAGTGCGTCGGCCTGAGGACTGAAGGGCCCCGGGTGTGATTCTGGTCAAGGGCACGTGCACGGGTTGTGGGCTCCATTCCCAGAGTGGGGCTTGCAAGAGGCAGCCAATCAATGATTCTCTCTCATCATTGATGTTTCTCTCTCTCTCCCTCCCCCTTCCTCTCTGAAATCAATGAAAATGTATTTTTTTTAAACTATTATATAAATGTTTCAGAAGTTGAGAGATGTGTGGCATTTTGTTTTATAGTAAACAACTGTTACTTCTCATAACAGTCATAACTATGCAAGAAAATAATTTTCCCTAAAAACCCCATCACGGCCCTAACCGATTTGGCTCAGTGGATAGAGCATCGGCCTGCGGACTCAATGGTCCCAGGTTCGATTCCGGTCAAGGGCATGTAACTTGGTTGTGGGCACATCCCCAGTAGGGGGTGTGCAGGAGATGGCTGATGGATACTTCTCTCTCATCGATGTTTCTGACTCTCTGTCCCTCCCCCTTCCTCTCTGTAAAAAATCAATAAAATATATTAAAAAATAAAAATAAAAAATAAATAAAAGCACCGCTCTTGGTGTGTCATCCAACAATGCACAGCTTGCCTTGTCCTCACGCCCTCACAGCGGTGACTGAATCATGTGAATGGGGCATGTTAAGAGCCATCACCCATTTGATTATCACATGTGACAATGCGGGGAGGGAGCCCCCGGCGAGGCCAGGGCGCTGGCGGGTGGAAAGCAGTGGCTGCAGGATGTACAAGGCCCCGCAGCAACACGCCTGAACACGCCAGCCCCCGCCCGGGGAACGTCCGTGTCGCTCAGGGGGACTCTCTCCCCGGCTGAGCGGGACCTGCTCCCGGGCTGACCCTGAGCGTCCTTCCGGCCGGTGCGATGGTGGGACGGAGCCTCGTCAGACCCAGCGGGGACCCGGGCAGTGTCTCGGGCCACAGCTCAGGGGAGAAAAGGACCCGGCGGCTCCGGCCCTGCTGTGACCCCGTACACGCTGCCGAACGCCACACGCCTCTGGCTCCCGGCAGACACACGTGGGCGACAACCTTGCAGACACGCGTCGGCGTTTGTAGGTGGGGAACACGCAATGAGCGGCCCACGCAACAGCAGTGACTCTTGGTGGGTCCTTCTCACTGCCTTTGTTTTTTAAAATATGCTTTTACTGATTTCATAGAGGAAGGGAGAGGGAGAGAGAGATAGAAACATCAATAACGAGAGTCATGGATCAGCTGCCTCCTGCACAATCTCCCCACTGGGGACGGAGCCCACAGCCCGGGCCTGTGCCCTGACCAGGAATCGAACCCTGACCTCCTGGCTCATAAGTGGATGCTCAACCCCGGAGCCACGCCAGTTGGGCAGGTGTGTTTGTTTTTTACTTTCCTAATCTTTCTCTGTGAGGCAAGCTCCCAGCCTCCTGGGCCTTGAAAACTGAGATACAACCCTGCAGACGGCACAACATGGGCGGGAAAAGCAGGTGCCGGCACCGATGTCCTCGTTAATGAGACCCTGGCATCCGTTTGTACGTGTCGACTGACTGCCTTGTCGATGGGCCTGACGAGGCCTGGGCCTGGGCATGCAGGCTGTGTCCCCAGAACGGTGAGGGCTTTCACGGCTGCGGTGCCCGAGCCTGCGGCTCCCACTGAGCCAGGAGCCGCTCCATCCCGCTGAAGCGCAGTGGCCTCCGCGCGCGTACCCGCACCCTCGCTTCCACCTGCATCGGCCTGGCTTCTCCCCAGACCAGGCCTGGTTATGAAACATGGGTTTCCCTTTGCTCGTCCGCAACAGAGGGCCAACTTCTAACCTGGGCCTCGTCGTGTGTGTGGGATTTGGGCAAGCTGTTCCTCATGGGTCCTGAGCCACACGAGCGAGCCAACTGCCAATCTGAGTGGCCAGATGATTATGGTCTCTGAACGCATCATCATCTAGCCACTCCGTGTACTTCTCTTGAGTACCTCGTTTATTTGATATCAAAGACACTATAAATCGTGCACCTGATCAGTTTCTCCCTCTGCACTGGCTGATAGGAAGCTCATGGCAAATAGATTTATATTGATCTTAGAAAGGAAGATAGTTGATCTCCAGCAAAAGTCTAGAATACTTTTGGTGGCCATTTGAGGTACAAATACACTGAGTGGCCAGATAATTATGGCAGGGAGGGCAGTTAGGGGTGATCAGGCAGGCAGGCAAGTGGTTAGGAGCCAGTGGTCCTGGATTGTGAGGGGGATGTCTCAGTGCCGGTTAGGCCTGATGCCTGGGATTGGGCCTAAACCAGCCATCGGACATCCGCCAAGGGGTCCCGGATTGGAGAGGGTGCAGGCTGGGCTGAGGGTTAGTAAATAAGTAAAATGTATTCGTTGTCATGCCAGCCGCCTGTGGGAAAGCAGTTTCCGTGGCGGACACACGTGCACCGAGACGACATCTAACCGTTTCCTCTCTCTCCCGCCCTCCCCCGCCCCCAGGACCCCCGTGGGCACCTGAGCGAGCGCGGCCCCCGCCGGGCGGGGCCATGGCCAGCATGGCCGTGCAGCTGCTGGGCTTCCTGCTCAGCTTCCTGGGCATGGTGGGCACGCTGGTCACCACCATCCTGCCGCACTGGCGCCGGACCGCCCACGTGGGCACCAACATCCTGACGGCCGTGTCCTACCTGAAGGGGCTGTGGATGGAGTGCGTGTGGCACAGCACAGGCATCTACCAGTGCCAGATCTACCGCTCGCTGCTGGCGCTGCCCCAGGACCTGCAGGCGGCCCGGGCGCTCATGGTCATCTCCTGCCTGCTGGCGGGAGCGGCCTGCGCCTGCGCCGTCGTGGGCCTGCAGTGCACGCGCTGCGCCAAAGGCACGCCGGCCAAGGCCACCTGCGCGGTGCTGGGCGGCGCGCTCTTCCTGCTGGCCGGCCTGCTCTGCCTGGTGGCCGTGGCCTGGACCACGCACGACGTGGTGCAGAGCTTCTACAACCCGCTGCTGCCCAGCAGCATGAAGTTCGAGATCGGGCAGGCCCTGTACCTCGGCTTCATCTCCTCCTCCCTGGCGCTCATCGGCGGCACGCTGCTCTGCCTGTCCTGCCTGGACGAGGCGCCCTCCCGGCCCTACCCCGCCCCGCCCCGGGCCGCCACCACCACCGCCACCGCCACCGCGCCCTCCTACCGGCCGCCCGCCGCCTACAAGGACAACCGGGCGCCCTCCGTCACCTCCGCCTCGCACAGCGGGTACCGGCTCAACGACTACGTGTGAGCCCGGCCCGGCCTCCCTGAGCCGGGGGGCAGGCACCCAGGCCCCGGCACCCGGGACCCGCACCCAGGATCCTGGCACCCAGGCCCCCCGCACCCAGGCCCCAGCACCCAGGATCCTGGTACCCAGGACCCCGCACCCAGGCCCCCGCACCCAGGATCTGGCACCCAGGCCCTCGCACCCAGGCCCTGCCCTGAGTGTGCGTTGGGCTGCTCTGTGCCGGAAGGACGGCGTGGACGTGCTGGCGGGGACAGGGAGGAGGGCGTGAGGGGGGAGCTCTGATACCAAAGACGAGGAAAGCCCGCTGGCGCTGTGCGTGTGACACGCATTTATGGGGGGGGGGGTGAAAACACGAGGCAGAGGCCCCATGGGGTCGGTCCGGGGACCGGTTTGCAGGCGGGAATAAACCTGTGGACTGGTTGTTCTGGAAACGTAGTCTCCGCGTCTGTTTCCAAGAGGAAAAAGACATGCACACTGTCATGCACACACACACTCTCACACCTGCACGCACACACACATGCACTCACTCACACACACACATGCACACTCATGCATGTGCACGCACATGCATGTACATGCACACACTCTCACTCATGCACACACACGTGCACACACACTCTCTTTCATGCACACACCCATGATGTGCCCTGAGGGGCATGTGTGTGCTCTGCAGCTTTGCCCCAGGAGAGCTCAGCTCCTCCCTGAAGACGGAGAGCCTGGGCCCATCATGGACCAGCAGGCGCCCTCCCTCCCGGTCTGCTGCAGTGACAGCCTGCCGGTGCTGCTGGGCTGCGGTGGGGAGGAGCAGCGGGTCCCCGAGCAGCTCCCTGGAGGCCGGGCTGGGCTGGGTGTCCGCCAGGTGCCTCCGGGTCACTGTGTCCAGAGGAGGCGAGGGCCTGGAGGCCTGGAGGCCTGGAGGCCTGGAGGCCTGGAGGGCTGGAGGGCTGGAGGGCTGGGGGGCTGGGGGGCTGGAGGCCTGGAGGCCTGGAGGGCTGGAGGCCTGGAGGGCTGGAGGCCTGGAGGGCTGGAGGCCTGGAGGGCTGGAGGGCTGGAGGGCTGGAGGCCTGGAGGGCTGGAGGGCTGGGGGGCTGGAGGGCTGGAGGGCTGGAGGGCTGGGGGGCTGGAGGCCTGGAGGCCTGGAGGGCTGGAGAGCCTGGAGGGCTGGAGGGCTGGAGGGCTGGAGGGCTGGGGGGCTGGAGGGCTGGAGGCCTGTGGAACCAAGGCCAAGGCCAGGGCAACCAGGGCCATTTCTTGTGCAGGAAACACCAGCTTCGGGCAAATGTGGCCAGACCAGCAGTGCTCTCTGTGCTGGGGGGGGGGGGAGCTCGCGGTGAGAGGCGGGGAGGGGGCAACAGAGGAAGCCCCGGGGAGTGACAGGAAGTCCCCTTAACTACGGTTCCAGGATGTAAAAGAGCCGCCATGCCCCACATTTCCTGTTTACTCACCGCTCCTCACCTTAGAGGAGAGCTGGGTGTGTGCATGTGTGTGTGCATGTGTGTGTGCCTGAGTGTGTGTGCATGTGTGTGTGTGCCTGAGTGTGTGTGCATGTGTGTGTGAGAGAGAGACTGAAATCTGAGGTCCTATATATTTGAAGCCATTTCTTGATTCAAAAAGCACAAAGCCAATCCTGGGCAGCTATCCAAAGGAAAACAGTGACATTTTATTCTAGTAAATTATTGTAAAATGCACAGACTTGCTTTTGCAGGTGTGTGGGGAGGGAAAGCATCAGCAAGCAGCCCGTTTCCTGCCCAGGGGAAGGCCCATGAGGTCGCCCCATAAATTTGGGGGGCCCAGCCCCCGGGGCAGGTCACCGTGTCACCCCCACCCCTCTCGCTCTGAGAGTCCAGCACAGCTCACACTTCCATTCCCCTCCCAGCCCCACCTGCCAGCCTGCGGCCAATGACCGACAGCGGGAGCTCTCCGCCAACCCGGCAGCCCTCCGGCTCTGCTCCCGCTGGAGCATCTGCCGCCGCCTCCAGCCCCCCACACCCCCCCAGCCCCAGGTCTGGGCTCCTGACGTTTTTCCAAAATAAAGCATCTGCCGGCGTTTCCCGTCCAGCATAACCAACAGTGAGAGGGCGGGCCTCACGGCCAGGAGAGAACAGCAGGGACTGGGTCCAGTGGCTGGCACAGTCTGGGGAAGCTGGAGCCTGCCTCGGTCGGAGCGCACCTGGGACCTTGCTGAGCAGACGGATGGACGGACGGACTGGAGGCAGCAGGCGGCCGGCCCCAGGACAGTGAAGAGGTGTGGAGATGGGAGCACAGTGCCACACCTGGGGTCCTAGGACCCGGACAGGACCTGGTCCCAGCCCTCTCCTCAGGTGGCCCTCAGAGGGAGGGGCCAGCGCCTTCCATCCCTCACCCCGCAGACGCTTCTGCTGGAACAGTCAGCGTTCACGCCGGAGCCTCTCCCTAATGCCCAGGCAGGAGAACGTCGACGGCTTCATTCCTCTAAAGTTGAATGTGGTGCCCTCGCCGGTGGGGCTCACTGGATAGAGCATCAGGCGTGGACTGGAGGGTTCTGGGTTAGATTCCAGCAACCAATGAGTGTGTAAGTGGGTGGGACAAAAAAAATCAATGAAAAAGTGTTTGTTTAAATAATGAAGGACTCTTTAATGTATACATTCATGTCCTCCTTCATTTCGGGAAGTTCTGGCCTTTTATGCCTTTTCACAGCTGTTCTGTCGGGTCTGCTCTGTAATACTTTGCAGTAGAACAGCAGTGGGTGTGCACCGGGTCCTCGGTGGTCTGTGCTCCCTACTGGCCGTTGCTTTTCCTCCAGTGGAAATGCTCATGATCTCAGTCACAGTGATGCTTTCACAGCTGTGTGTGTGTGTGTGTACACACAAATGGATCAATTGCACACATATATACAGTTAAGTGTACTGCAGTTGTACCTCAATAAAATTGGGGGGAAAGGAAGCTACTTGGAGATATAATTTGAGATTAAATTAAAATAAATAAATCAGAATTCATGAAATTATAGGATGAAAAATCAGCATTGAGTATTGACTCTATTACATATAAATTATATCCAATTAATGCAGAAATTCTAATCACAATAAGGTAACTGTTGCAATTGCTAGGGAAAAGGGAACTGATTATTTTTCATTGACAAGACATAAAGTAGCATAATACTCCAGAACAGGCAAAAAAACTAGGGAATGGGTTGTCCAAGAGTATTAGTGTTCTAGTATACTCTCTCTATAATATAAAAGGGTAATATGCTAATTAGGCCGGATGTCTTCGGATGTCCTTCCTGACTAAGCTGAGGCCTGGGGGAAGCCAGCCGGGGTCCCGGGTGCCTGCGGGTGGCGGGAGGAGGGAAGCCCGGGTCCCAGTGCTGGAGGGAAGCCAGTGCAGGCAGCCAGGAGAAGGAAGGCCTACTCTTGCAGGGATTTCCATGGAGCTGCCCCCCGGTGGTCACTGTGCTCCCACAGGGGGAGTGGCTGCTCAGCCAGAAGCTGGGAGCCTCTCACCTCTGTGGCAGTGCTAAGGAGCAGCGAGCCAAGCAGTAAAAAGCGAGCAGGTGGGCGGTAAAGAACGAGGGACCCTGGATTGTGAGAGGGATGTCCGCCTGCCAGCTTAGGCCCAGTCCCCGGAGGGGTCCCGGACTGCGAGAGGGCGCAGGCTGGGCTGAGGGACCCCCCCCCCCCCGCCCCAGTGCACAAATTTTGTGCACCAGGCCACTAGTCTTTTATAAGAGAAAGTAAAGTGGGATGATTGTATTACTGAAATTGACACCTTGTTGTAAAGTAAATACTCAAACCCAAACAGACTATATATCTTCTTAATTCAAAGGAGAAATAAGTCAACACAGCAGAAGGTACAAACAGGAGAAAACAGCAAGTATTATAGATACATCAAAAAATGCTTTCAGATAAGCGTAATAATTTATACTATCATCAGATAAATTTAAGGGACTTAGAAAAGCCAGAAGTAAAATTACAAGCAAAATTATAGATCAAAGATCTGTAAAATGATGGCACAGGGCGGGCAAAATGATAGTGAGTAAAAAGAACGCCGGGAAGACGTACAGGATTAATATTAGGGAAACGTGACCTCGATGAAAACTCGGGAGGTCACAGACAAGGGCCACTCCATCCGGATGACGTTTATAGCGGACCATGTGACCTGGGGAAACGGCAGAACCACACTGACAGTGAGACTCTGGCTCCCTTCGCTCAGTCCCCATCCAGGCAGACACGGAAGCAGGAGAGACAGGAGGCACAGGCTGACCTCACACACGCACAGTTCCGTGTTCTGAAAGGGAAGAGAAGCTGAAACCGGTTTGGCTCAGTGGATAGAGCGTCGGCCTGCAGACTGAAAGGTCCCGGGTTCGATTCCGGTCAAGGGCATGTACCTTGGCTGCGGGCACATCCCCAGTAGGAGGTGTGCAAGAGGCAGCTGTCGATGTTTCTAACTCTCTATCCCTCTCTCTTCCTCTCTGTGAAAAATCAATAAAATATATATTTAAAAAAAAAAAAAAAGGAAAAAGAAAACACAGGACACAGGCTTTTCAGAAACAGAGAGGCCTCGCACCGCTTTCTAACATATTAGACCCCAGAGGCAACGCCTGTGACCTCCGGGAGCCGAAACAGAACCCGCCTTCTGAGGCAACAGGAAAACGAAAAATAATACAGTGGAAGCAAACAAAAAAACACCAATACTCAACCCATCGGAAATGAAGAAAAGCAACCTCTGTTTTTTCTGTTTTTTTCTTGTTTCAAAGGGGAAATCGAACTGGAACAGCAGTTGATCTAGGAAATTACAATAATGAGGGTATTGTATGTCAGACCCCCTGGGGCAGGGTCACAGCTGAAGGCAAAGTAATAGCCATACCCTTAAGGGCAGTCTGCAAACACTAACCAAGCACCTGAAGGGGAAACACAGAAAAACTAATGCAAAAACCTAAAGAAAACAAGGCAGGAGCCCTGGCTGGTGTGCTTAGTGGTTAGAAATCAATAAAAAATATATTTTTTTTTAATTTTAAATCATAGACTAGATCCGTGGTCGGCAAACTGTGACTCTCGAGCCACAGGCGGCTCTTTGGCCCTTTGAGTGTGTCTCTTCCACAAAACACCACGGCCTGGGCAAGTCTATTTTGAAGAAGTGGAGTTAGAAGAAGTTTAAGTTTAAAAAATGTGGCTCTCAGAAGGAATTTCAATCATTGTGCTCTTGATATCTGGCTCTGTTGACTAATGAGTTTGCCTACCACTGGGCTAGAGAAATCACTAGACAAGGAAAGGAAGGAAGTCTGGGACAGCGGCCTGGGTTCGGGAGGGGAGAGCAGAGAGGGGCACAGAGGAAGCGGGGAGCCTTGGAATGCCTTTACCGGCGGACGTTCTATGGGAGACAGCATGTCGTTCTGAGTACCGAGAGGTGGGCCCTGCCAGTGGCACAGGAAGTCACCGTTCCATCCTGGTCAGGGCACACGCCGGCTGTGGGGGTGCGTGCCCAAGGCAGCCGGTCGATGTTTCTTTCCCACATTGATGCTTCTCGCCCCACCCCTTCCTCACTCTTTTAATGTTTTTAAAACATTTTCAAAACAAGAAGAGAGGGTGGTATCAGCCCCACATCATCCCTGAGCATCTGCGACCACAGCTGTTAAAGGGATAATACTGCTGCTTCACAGTCTCTCCGAGCCAAACCCTGTAGGGCAGGCGTCTTCAAACTGCGGCCCGCGGGCCACATGCGGCCCGCAGAGGAGTCTGATCCGGCCCGCCAGGTTTTTTGGGCAGTGAGCGCAGCCGAGGTGTTACAGTAGGAATTAGTAGTTCATATAGTCCGGCCCTCCAGCTCTCTGAGGGACCGTGATCTGGCCCCCACTTTAAAAAGTTTGAGGACGCCTGCTAGGGGGAGCACTCTTTCCTGCCCTCGTCAGTGCTGATGCAGGCAGGATCTCAGGTGCAACACTGCCCTCCAGGTGTGGCCACCAGGGGCTGCGGCCAGCGGCCACGGCCACGGGCTGGGGGCTAACAGGGACACAGACCCCTCGGAGGAGGGAGGAGAGAAGGGAGCAGCTGCAGAGGCTTCAGACCCAGGCCGTCCTCCTCCTGGGCAGAGGCTGTGGGGACAGTGCCACCTAGCGGCCACAGGAGTGCAGGGCACATGTGTGTGCACATGTGCGTGTGCAGGGAGGGAGGTGGGTCTGCTTACCCACAACCACTCAGTCCGCCTCTCATCTGCCCTGTGACAGCTGTGAGCGACCTTCAGATGAAGTGACCTGTCCAAGGTCCGTCTAAGACACAGACAAACAGACGGACACACACATGTACCAGGTGAGAGTGAGCGACACAGCAAATAACACCGAGGGAGCCGTGGGAGCCCGGGGGGACGCCAGGCTGAGGGTGGGCGCCCATGCCCCCCTTGAAGTTTTCCGAGCCCCGAACCCGGCAGTTTTACTGCTTTGGGAGGAAGGGTGCTCTGGGAGGGAGGGGAGGACCAGGGGGCCCACCCTGACCTTCGCTGAGGTGCCCATCCTGTTGGACCCTGCTTGAGGCTCTTCCTGGTGGCCCAGGCCTGGTCACCCACCGGGGTCCCACCCTATGGGCCCGTGTGTACGGCAGCTTCACCCTTGCTGCCCCCACAGCCCCACGGCTTCCTCCGTCAGACACAAGGGGGGGCGGGGGGGGCAGGGGGAAGCAGGCCCTGGTCCCCACGTCACTCCCAGACTCCGGGGACACAGGTCGGGCCGTCCCAGACGGCTGCCCAACTGCCACTCCTGCTGTGAGAGGACCCCATGTGCCCTCCCCCAGGGCCCCTCCTCCTCTCCCCACCCCCACGGCGTGTCAGGGGAGGGAGGGGCGGAGAAGAACGAGGGTGCTGCAGGTGCCAGCTCTGAGGGGCCTCATGTGCAGCTGAGGCTGAGAACCACTGGTCAAAACACAGGGCTGGCCCAGCCGGAGGCTCAGGTAGTTTTCCCATTTATTTTTAGAGAGAAAGGAAGGGCGGGTGGGAGAGAGAGAATCATCCGTGTGAGAGGCACGTCAATTGGTTGCCTCCCCACACATGCTCTGACCAGGGCTGAGAACTGAACCCGAAATCCCCTGGTCCACAGAGCGGTGTGCTAACTACTGAGCAACCAGCTGGGCCCAGTTCCTTCCTTTGCTGCTGCTGACTCCCAGCCCTCGTCCAAGACTGGGGGCGGCTCCGGCCCCGCACCCACACCCGCGCTGGTCACCCGGGGGAAGGCAGCCCCGGGGCAGCACCGCGCCTGTCACCGGACACCCGTCACTCATGCTCATCACGCCAGTGACGGCATCAGTGCCCGCCCCACCTGCTCTGCGGTGCCCGGACATTCGCGGCGACAGCTCTTCCCAGCGCCATCCTCAGCGGGTCCACCCGCCACCGGGGGCCGCCTCCGGGCACCCACCCCTGCCTCCTGCGGCGACAGCACCCCCCAGTCTCCCCAGCAGAAACAGACCTGTCCCCAGCCCCCCACCTGGGGCAGAGAAAGCAGAGACACAGGCGTCAATGACTACGTTACTTTTTTCTTCTTTGAAAAATCAACCTAGGGAGATCCAAGATGGCTGCGCCCAGGTGAACACCTAGCCGCAGCCGCACACAACAATTTCAATAAAATACAACTAAAATATAAAACGGACATTGCCCAGAACTACTGGAAGGTTGACTGACTGGAAATTCTACAGCGAGAAGCAAGGAGAAAACCAGAAGGAGGCGCGGAGGAGCTGGAAAAGCCCAAGGTACTGAGACGCGGCACGCGGAGAGGACGGAGCCGGAGAGGAGGGAGGCCGAGTGCCTGGCGGGCGTTCCTGAGCGGAAAGGAGAGAAAAGCTCCGACTGTGCTGGGCCCCCAACTGCTCTGAACCCCGGTTCTGGGCCAGACCCCGGGGACCCAGGCTCAGCCATAGGGAGCCGGGCTGTAAGGCGGAACCCCAGGGAGAGGCGAAAGGAGGTCCCGGAGGCGCGCACACTGCGCGCAGAGAAGGGACGGTCGGCTGTGCCGCGGGATTGCCCTGACGGGAAGGAGACTGGGGCTCCAGACTGCTCTGAACGCCACCTCCAATCCCACCTCCAACTGAACTGAACCCCAATACCGGGCTCATTGTGGGAGAGCATAGACTGTTTGGCAGCAGGCGAAAATCGAGGGCACCTTTCTCTCAGAGGCGCCGGCAGCAGCGAGCACTGAAGGACCCGCATAGGGCGGGGCTGACAGAAGCCAAAGCTGCAGGCTCCACCCTGAAACCCCGTCCCATCTGTAACTGCGAAATGCGACAACAAAATAGATCACAAACGAAAGAAATGGAGGACAAAAAGCGTCTGGATATAGAGTTCAAATCTACGCTTATAAGTTTTTTCAAGAGTTTCTTAGAAAAGATGGATAAGGGCTACGAGGATATGAAAAGAGATCAACTAGAATTAATAAGGAGTCAACAAGAAATGATAAGGGATCAACAAGAAATAAAGAATACATTGTCTGAAATAAAAAATATTTTACTGAGTCCTAAAAACAGAAGGGAAGATCGCAAGAATCAAGTCAAAGATTTGGAACATAAAGAGCCAGAAGACACTCCTCCACAGAAGCTAGAAGGCAAGAGAATCCAGAAAATTGAAGATAATGTAAGAAACCTCTGGGACAACTTCAAGCGAACCAACATCAGAATTATGGGGGTCCCAGAAGATGAGAGAGAGCAAGATATGGAAAACATACTGAAAGAAATAGTGACAGAAAACTTCCCCTACCTGGTGAAAGAATTAGACTTACAAGTCCAGGAAGCGCACAGAACTCCAAACAAAAGGAATCCAAAGAGGACCACACCGAGACACATCATTATTAAAATTCCAAGAGCAAAAGACAAAGAGAGAATATTAAAAGAAGCAAGAGCAAAGAAGGTAGTAACCTACAAAGGAGCACCTATACGATTGTCAGCTGACTTCTCAACAGAAACCATGCAGGCCAGAAGGGAATGGCAAGAAATATTCAAGGTGATGAATAGCAAGAACCTACAGCCAAAGATAATCTATCCAGCAAAGATATCACTCAGAATCGAAGGCCAGATAAAGAGCTTCACTAATAAAAAAAAGCTAAAGGAGTTCATCACCACCAAACCAGAATTATATGAATTGCTGAAGGGGGTTCTTTCAGAAGAGAAAGTAAACAAAGATAAAAATTATGAACAACAAATACATAACTATCAACAAGTGAATCTAAAAACCAAGGAAATTAAAAAAATCTGATGAACAATATTAACTGTTGAATATAATAGAATCAGAGGTATGGAAGGGGAGTGAACTGACGATTCTTGGGGTAAAGGGGAGAGGGGGGCGTGGGAAGAGACTGAACATAAACTGTGCACCTATGGATGAGGACAATGGGGAGAGGGGAAAGGGCAGAGGGTGGGATGGGAACCTGGTGGAGGAGAGCAATGGTGGGTGGGGGGAAAGGAACATTTGTAATAATATGAACAATAAAAACTTATTAAAAAAAAAAAATAAATAATAAAATAAAATAAAATAAAATAAAACTTAAAAAAAAAAAAAAAAAAAAAAAAAATCAACCTAAAAAGTTAACCTATTTGATACCAAATTGTATCTCAAGTAAAACCTCAACTTTCCCCTTAAAAGAGAGTGAAGCCTGTTTTTTATGCCAGAGCAGGGGATGGGAGGACAAAGCTCCCCCCCCCCCCCCGAGCCTGCTCGTCCCTTCACGCCGGCTTCCTGTTCAGAATGAGCCCCATCACCTTTAAAATCAGAACGCAAACAGAACAAACTTCCAAAAGCTGACCACTGTTTACAGGGCAAATCTAATAACCATTCAGACACCCGGAACCCACCACCCCCGTGAGGGTCCGCACGGCCAGAGGGTTCGGGAGGAGCGAGTGGTGTCCACAGGGACGGGGTCCGCGGGTCCAGCTCCGGGAGTGCAGCGGGAGGCTGGCGGGGACAGTGTCCCAGGGACACTCACGGAGGCGGGAGCAGACCCTCCGGAAGTCAGGCTGCTCTGAGCGAGGGGGTCCCCGCCAGGCAGCCTTCACGCACAGGCCAGGTCTCCCGCGGGCTCCGGGCCCTGGGCGCCGTCTCCGTCCTCCGCAGGGCGGGGCCGCTTCCGCTGCGGGGGGCTGGCCCGCGTGTCTCCAGGCGGCTCGGAAACGCTGACCGGCGAGGCTGCTAAGGAAGCAAGACTTCTTTAAGGGCCAGCACAACAGATCCTGCCCCGGCTGGTGTGGCTCGGTGGGTAGAGCCCCCGCCTGCGGACTGAAGGGTCCCGGTTCAATTCCGGCCAAGGACACAGGCCTGGGTTTCAGGCTCAGTCCCCAGTGTGGGGGCGTGCAGGAGGCAGCTGATCGATGGTTCTCTCTCATCATAGATGTTTCTATCTCCCTCTCCCCCTCCCGCCCTCTCTGAAATAAATAAAAACACATTTTTTAAAATTCTGTGCCCAGGCAAGGAGTAAGCTGTCCGGCAGGTCCCATGTGCCTAGAATGGAGTCTACACCAGGAATCTCAGCCCCAGGGCCACTGTGCCTCCCAGGACGGTGGGCGCTGCTGGCGACATGTTAGGCTGTCAGGAGGGGGATGGGAACATCTGGGGCGCTAATGAACGCCGTCACACAGGACCGCCCACCGAGCCCCACCCGGCCTGGCATGGGGGCACCCAGCTCCCCCATGCGCTCCGGGAAGCGGCTCCCGAGAACAAACGGGCCAGTGGGTCTGCAGGGTGGGCCTCGGCAGGCGCATCCTCGCTGTCTCAGAAGCAACTTGACATTAGCGGACGTTCATTTCCAAAGGAAGGAGAAGGTCTGCTACCCCCAGGGGAACAGGCCCAGCACCAGCCCTCACCTGGCGGGGCCTCCACGGGAGGGGTGCAAGCCACAGCGCCCGACACAGCATTCGGGCCGTCCGTCTTTAAGGGCATCAGGTTCACTCTCCTGGGTAAGAGAAGGGAAGGGCGTGGTGAGTGCATGTCACAGGGCCTGGGTGTCTGACACCACGACCCAAACCACGGCTTCTCAGTAGCAGCTGGTCACGTATGCAAGGCGGTACCTGCACACAGACACCGCGGGCTTAGTGACCAAGGATCACGCTTGTTCACGTTGCGGCACCATAGCACTGACGTCATCACTGTGCTGATGTCATCACCGCGCTGATGTCACTACCACACGACGTCACCAGTGCTGAAGTCATCACCACGCTGACGCCACCACGGCGCTGATGTCATCACAGTGCTGACGTCATCAACATGCTGACGTTACTACCACATGTCACCATGGCGCTGATGTCATCATCGCGCTGTCACTACTACATGACGTCATCACAGCGCTGACGTCAGCTTACCCCTCAGAGGGCCCCCCATGTACACAGAGCCCTGCTCAGGCTTCCTGCTGCGAGCTGTTCTTTCCAAAACCCACAACCTGAATGTCCAACAACTATTCCTTTTTCAAAATGAACAACTGCAAGAAGCTTGTAAGACATGAAACGGGGAAACTTAAATACCCAAATATTTCCCAGAACCCCTTCCCTCCGCCCAGACACACAGGAGAGAAACCAAGCGTCGCTGGTCTAGAGACCAACCGGGAGCCGATACCCCCACCCCACGGTGGACCGGCCAGAGAGGTCAGGGAGTGAGCAGGCAGGGCCGCCCCAGGGCTTCCAGCACCTTCTGTCACCCCTGCCTCCGGTGGCCCCCGGCGCTCTGTCTGGACAGAGGGGCCAGTCTGTCTATCAGCCGGGCGGTGAACCCGGAGGTGACCCCCCTGACATCCAGGGAGGAAACCGGGCGGCGCAGCTAACGGGGGTCACAGGGTCGGGGGGCTGGGGTCACCGCAGTGCCGGCCCAAAGCCACAGGAACGGGGCTCTGCCTGCCCCAGGGGCTGAGGCCTCACGGGGAGCAGCAGAAAGAAGTCCCGGCCGGATGTGACATGTGACAGGAAAGAAGGGAGGGTGGAGGACGCGGCGTCCGTGTCCGGGGGAAGGGGGGTCAGAGGCCCCCAGGCGAGTGTGCTCTGGGGACCCAGCTGGAGGGGTCAGGCTGAAAGGAAGGCACCCGGGAAGGAGTGTGATCACGACCTGCAGGTGGAACCGCACCTGTGCGTCACATAAGAAGTAGGGACCCCTCAGAGGGGTGTGAGCCAGGAGGTGGCCCTTGGGAGTGAGGTGAAGAAACCTCTGGAGCCCTGGCTGGTGTGGCTCAGTGGCTAGAGCATCGGCCTGTGGACTGAAGGGTCTCAGATTCGAATCCCATCAAGGGCACAGGCCTGGGTTGTGGCTCGATCCCCAGTGGGGGGCGTGCAGGAGGCAGCCGATCCATGATTCCCTCTCATCATTGGTGTTTCTCTCTCTCTCTTTCTCTCTCCCTCCTCCCCCCCTTCCTCTCTGAAATCAGTAAAATCATATTTTAAAAAAGAACCCTCTGGGGCAGCACAGCGTTGTGCTGCCGGCTCCTCAGCGTCCCCGCCCAGGTGTCCTTACCGGGGCGTCTTGCTCCAGGCCTGCAGGGTGTGCAGGGTGACCCTCCGGGGCGGGGGCGCCTTCCCAGCCTGACTGCTGGGCGGGCTCTTCTCCTCCGAGGGCCCGGCGGGGGCAGCCGTGGCGGGCGGGTCTTTGGGCGCTGGGGCTGCGGACGGCCTCCCCGGAGCGGGTGCTGGGCAGGGACTGCCAGGGTCTGGGATTCTGCTGGCCGGGGTGCCCTCCCCCAGCCTGGGCTCCGGCGAGGACCCCTGTGGGGTCTGACACTTGGCCTTCGTCGCCGTATCGGGAGTCCGCGTGCTCAGGTCCGGCTTCTCTGTGAAAGGCGTTCCCAGCTCGCCCTTCTCAAAGGTCACGAAGGAGCAGTAGCCGTCGGTGGAGGAGATGGCCAGGAAGGCGCCGTCGCTGGACCTTGGCCCCAACGCAGGAGAAAGGGCGAAGTTTTACCGCGTCCGGCCCGCGCTCCCCCCGTCAGAGCGCCCCGCCCCGCTCACCAGGAGATGTCGCTCAGCGTGTGGTAGTGGATGCTGGACACGTAGCCGAAGGGGAGGAGCTGCTGCGTGTCGTAGAAGATCACCGAGTCCTCGGAAGCCACGGCGAACACCACGCGGTAGGGCAGGCGCACCAGCGGCCCCGGGGCCGGGCCGTCTGCGGGACACGGGCAGGAAGGACGTGACACCAGCACCCGCCGGACCCCCACACCGAGCCCCTCCCCGGACACACGGGACCGATTCCACCAATGGCGTCGGAGGCCCGGAGGCCTTCCTTTTATTTACACACGAACGCAGGAACGAGAACTTCGTGAGCACCGTGTCAGGATCGCCGAGGGGCACACGGGAGAGAACTTCCGGGAAGGAAGCCCAGGGTCACGTGGAAACCCTGTACCGAGTGATGCTTTCATGCTCTCTCCGGTTAATTGGACTCATTCACGTAAGAGTTTAGAGTGGAAAACAGCTTCCGCTTCCAGCCTCCGAGTGACGGGGCCCCGATTTAGCCTCCGACGTTTTAAGACGCGGACTGCCCGTCAGCAGTGAAGGCCAGCGCCCCGGGCGGAGGGGAGCAGCAGCACGCAGTGCTGCGCAGCCTCGGCTCACCGCCTGGTGCCCAGGCCCAGCGGCGGGAGGGCACCCGGCAGCGCCCACAGGTGCCCTGAGCTGCGGGGCCAGAGCAGGGCTCCGGGCTGGGCACTGGCCGGTGCCGTCGGGAAGCGACCCGAGGTCCAAGCAAGACAGGAAAGAGATCCCTGGCCAGTGGTTGAGCCGCACCCAGGAAACAAGAGGTCACCTGCGGCTGGATTCCAGTAGGGGGCGTGCAGGAGCCAACTCATCAATTATTCTCTCTCATCATTGAAGTTTCTCTCTCCCTCTCTGATATCAATAAATATATATATATACACATTTAAGTTGCTCTAAACAGAGCCTGTATGTTCTAGACGCTGCCAACCACAGACACACAGTTTGCTAACAGCAGCCTCCGTGCCGGCTCCGAGTAACTAAACGGAGCCAAACTCACAGGCCCCCCCCTTTCCCAGAGGTAAGGTCAAACCTCACCCCCCCTGCTGACCTCCCGACAGGCGACGCATGTACCTGTTTCCGCCTCCGGCCTCAACTCAAAGTAGACGGGGCAGCAGCGGACAGCAAGCGTGGCTTTTCCGGGACACGGGAGATGCGCCACCGGCCTGGGGGGGAACCAGGGGTTAGAGAGACCGCTGCTCAACAAAGCCAGAGGGCAAACGTCCCCGCCGGTCCCTCGGGCTCACCGTTTCAGGTTCTTCCTGGAGAAGAGGTACGTGGTGTTGGTCACGTTTTCGCCCGACTCCACGCATCCGGCTGGCAGGAGGGAGGCTGTTACTTTACGGCCCACCAGCACACTCAAGGCAGCCAGTTCCGGGTTACAGTGACCTTCCCGAGAGATGTACCCCCTGGACAGTGTGTGTGCAGCTGGGATCAAATACAAACCCCGCACCCCTGGGCTCAGCTGCCCACTAGCTCTACCCACCGGTCCTCACCTGGGTGCCATCTCACCTGAGGGCTCGGCCCCCTGAGGGCACGGCCCCCGGCCAGGCCCGAGTCCCGACCTCACTGCCGTCCGAGGGCTGAGGCTGGCAGGACGGAGCCAGGAGCAGCCAGGAGATAGCCCTCTGCCGCAGCCCCAGCCCTGCAGAGCTGACCCGCTCTGGGGCCACCCCACTGTATTTGGTCCCAGTCGCACACACACTGTCCAGGGGGTACATCTCTGCTCCACCCTCCCACGCTGCACTTGGCACGGCCAGACCCAGTGGAGAGCGACCGACAGACACACCTGCTCTTGGACACGTCTTGTCCTCTGCTGCTGAGCGCGCGCCCACACGCCCACACACACACACACACACACACACACACACAAATGCACGCACATTCTTACACATGTGACCTTTGCATATCCACCAGGAGGGCGGCAGCATCTCACCCATCCTTCCTTCCATCCCAGGATAAACACCTGGCCAGCGTGCACTTCCTGCAGGCTACATAACCATGACAACCATACACACATACGTGGTGGGCATTTCTTTACTTTACAAAATGGGGTGCTCTCTAGACTTTTCCTTATCTTGCTTTTCTTAGTCAACTGCTCAGGAAAACCACCTTGCACAGCAGCTAGCGCACTCTCTTCCCCTCTCCCTCCTCGGGGGTCCCTCTTAGTTTCCCTCCAGTGCCCGCCCTGTTCTAACCACACGCTGGAGGTGCCCTGGCCTGCGGAGGGGACGCAGCCGCCACGCACCTGGGGTGAGCAGCAGGGAGCCGTCGGGGGTGAAGCTCAGTCTCCGGAAGAAGGACTTCATGCTGTCGTCATGGAACATGCGGTAGCTCCTGGCCTGAGGCACAAAGCGAGCGTCAGCCCAGCCCCCGCAGACAGGCCGTTTCCCTCCATGCGGCCGTCACTACTGCCGATCGTCACGGGAACCGAAACAACGAGTACCAACCCACACTCCGGGGGCATGAACAGATCGGCCTTCTGTTCAGGAAAGCTCATGTGTGCACGTGTGTGGGCACACGTGTGGACATGTGTGTGAGTAACTGGTTCGTGTGGGGATGAGCCTGGGAAAGAGTAAGAGGATGGCCGGAGCTCTCTGCTCGCTGAGAATTTCCACCAGAACAAATGGCTTTTTGAAAGGATGTAGTTGATTATTAAGCTGGTAATCACACCTTTCCTGTGGAAGTGCCGTGTGCACCCCCGCTTCAGGAACACCGGGGCCCAGGGCAGCATCGCCCTCGCTTCCCGAAGCGGCGACCGCCGCCCCGCCAGCCCGGCCCACACGACCCACACCTGCCAGAGGCCTGGATGGCGCTCGGTCCGTTTGGGCCAAAACCCGACTGGCTGGCTCCCTCTTGCCTCCTCAGCCTCCATTCCTGTAGGAATAGGGCCGGCTCTTCCCAAGGTCAAATCCCTCCTGCCCCTGAGCCGGCGCTCTGTGCCCGGAGCCCTCCGTCTTCCTGCCAAGATGCCGTGTGCACTGCCTGCTGCCGGCCATCCACCCCCTCCCACCTGCCTGCGTGCCTCAAGCTGGGATCCTCCGGCCCGCGTGCTCCACCCACACCACTCTCCGGAATCCACTCCTGGAATCTACTATCGGAATCCACTCCCTGGAATCCACTCTTAGAATCCACTCCTGGGAATCCACTCCCAAAAATCCACTCCTGGGAATCCCTTCCCCGGAATCCCGGAGGCCTGCCGCCTCAGCTGACTGAACCCGCTCAGGGTGGCCAGGCTTCTGCAGATGTTAACCTTAACCGAGCAGGACCTATAAATACGTCAAACGTAAACAATATTGGGAACGGGTAGGACGTATGAATACATCCTTGAAATACATGTTGCGTCCCGAGAGGGACGGTATATATTTTTTGTAATCTTTTTTCCTTTTAAATAGTTTACTGATTTTTTTACAGAGAGGAAGGAAAGGGGAGTGATAGAGAGTTAGAAATATTGATGAGATGAGAGAGAAACATCCACCAGCTGCCTCTTGCACAACCCCCACTGGGGATGTGCCAGCAACCAAGGTACATGCCCTTGACCGGAATCGAACCCGGGACCTTTAGGTCCGAAGGCCGACGCTCTATCCACTGAGCCAAACCGGTTTCGGCTATTTTTTGTAACCTTTATCATTGTTTGTAAAATTTATAATTTTTTAATTTGACGTGTCCCATTTTTTTTTTGTCGGTATTCTTTTCTATCTTTTTTGTAATTTTGTATTTTCCTTTGTGCTTTATATATATAAGTAAACGAATATATATATATATATATATATATATATATATATATATATATATATTTCATTTACTTTCATTAAGTATAAATAAAAAAAAATATGACATTATGTCCTCCGGGCGTGACGTACTGACACGTCCTAGTGAGAGAGTGCGCGCCCGTTACGGGTTGCGTCATTAAAAAGGGAGCTCCCGGTTAACAGTTAATGCTCCTCGGCTCTCCTGCCCCGGACGGACCTGCGCCCAGACGGGCCGGCCCGCACACTCCCGCCCCGACGGCCCAGGGGGCTCACTGGGCTCAGGGTTGGCTGCGAGCCGAGGAGCTCAGACTCGCCCCGTCCCCACGGAGCGCAGCCCCAGGCAGAGCCGCGCCTCTCCTACCTCTCCCTCGGCGCCCGCGCCCACCAGCATCTTGGACACGTTGAAGGCCACGCGCTTCTTCTGGGTGCTGTACACCCGCAGGGTCCTGGGGGAAAGGAAGTCCGGTCTCACTCTTCTGGCCAACGATCTGCCTCCCACAGGAGTGATCCTCACCCAAACGGAGGACGCGGAGGCACCCTGTGGCCCGGGAACCGTTTACAATGCCTTTCCCCGTGACCGCGTCCGTCCGAGGAGCGGTCTGAGCGGCAGGCCTGAGCGGCCTGAAGCGGTCAGCGCGGTGAGGGAGGCTCAGCTTCCTCCCTCAGGGAAGGTCCCGGCTTCCCGGTAAGACTGTCTCCAGGCCGCTCCCCTTTCCTTGGGCCCAGCGGCAGTTGGTACGGCTGTGGGTTAATTTTCGTGGAACAGCCCGGTCCTCAGGGATTTGCAAGAGGAAGATAGCACCACAGGCCAATCTGCAGGCGGTAACTCAGAGGATTCGCACTGGCTAGGCAGAGCCTCCTGCCGGCCGGAATCCACACAGCGGGAAACCAGTGACATCTGGGACGTCGCAGGTTCCAGGGAAACACACACCAGCTCCCCCCTGACTCTCATGCCCAGGCCTGAAATGAGACCTGCTGCGATGAGAAGAAGTGGGTAAATACTGAGAAGGACCATTTGGACTATCACAGGCATATGATGAGTAATATGCCTGGCACTCCTAATTTTTAAAAAGATTCTTTGTTCTAAGAACAAAACCAGTACACACAGGAGGAGGTCCTCCTTTCAAAAGGCACAAGAGTTTACTTTTATATTAAACAGTCTCCTTAAAATCGCCGTAGTGGCAACAAAAGGAAACCAATATCCACTCCTACTATTGGTACCTCTGCTTAAGTCATCTATACTAATAAAAGGGTAATATGCTAATTAGACCAGTCGTCCTTCCGGACAAAGCCACAGTGGCAGTTAGGGGCAATCAGGCCAACAGGGGAGAGCAGTTAGGGACAATTAGGCCATCAGGGGAGAGTTATTAGGGGCAATCAGGCAGGCAGACAGGTGGGCAGTTAGGAGCCAGTGATCCTGGATTGAGACAGGGATCCCAGATTGGAGGGGGTGCAGGCTGGGCTGAAGCGCCCCCCTCCATGCACAAATTTCATGCACTGGATCTCTAGTCTATATATGTAAAAGCCTAAGCAACCAGCTGACCAGCCGGCAGTTATAACATGCACTGACCACCAGGGGGCAGATGCTCAATGCAGGAACAGAAACCACAGGCAAGGAAACGTGGAACAGACTGATGAATCTCAGAAGGGAGGGGCAAGGAGGGTGGGAAGAGATTAACCAAAGGTCTTGTATGCATCCTGGAGGCCCGGTGAACAGATTCGTGCACTAGTGGGGTCCCTCGGCCAGGCCTGCAGGAAACCAGCTCTCCAACATCTCCCGAGGGGTCCCAGATTTTGAGGCACAGACCAGGTCGAGGAACCCCACCTCTAGTAGTTATTATAAAAGACCTTTTCTTTTAAAGTTGCCCATGAAACTCAGATCTAATTCCAAGCTCTTTCTGCATTCATTCACCTAGCCCGGCCAGTGTGGCTCAGAGGTTGAGCATCGACCTATGACATCCACCCATTCCATAGACTTACTAGGTACTAACTTGCCTCACCAGTTTCCAATTTTTCTTACGTTGAAAGAATAACAAAACAAATTCTTGCCATGAAACTAAGACTCAAAGAACCGAAGCTAGACCACTGCTTACAGTGGCTGAGTTGTGATAAAATGCCTCTCCAGAAGTTTTTAAGTAAACAGATACAAAGACAGTTTGTCCAGTACTCACATACCGATCACAGCTCAGGGTCGCAATGTACTGGCCCAAAGGATCCCAGGTAATTCCCTGCACGTAACTTTTATGTTCATTAAAAATCGAGATCTTCTGTCCTAGGAGAGAAGCACACGACGGCGTAACCAGAACTACTCCAGCGCCAGCGCGGACACCGCAGCCTCTGGGTCACTGTCCTGACCCAGTTCTGCCGTCAGCAGGTGGCCAGGGGACTGCCCCGAACACTGGGTCAGGCTCGGCCACATGGTCCTGCCCGGCCCGGCTCCCGGCGTTCAGAGCCGGCGGACACCCCACGGGCAGGCGCACTGCACCGGGCAGAGCGTGGAACAGAGGAGGGAGGCTGGGCGGGACCAGGCAGGGCGAAGGGGCCAGTGGAGGGAAAGGTGGTCTAAACAGACGCACGAGGAGACAGAGCAATGGCGATAACTGCGGACCGCCAGGGGGAAGGTAAAGGGCAAACGGACAAGACGAGGCGGAAGGCGGTGGGCACAGGAGCCCTGGGCAAGGAAAAGACCCGTGCAGCTCAGAGGAACGCCAAGAGGGGTGACCTGGTGGTAAAGATGAAACTTGGGGGCTTTGGGGGATTTTGTTTGTTTGTTAATCCTCACCCAATTGATTTTTTAAAAAATATATTTTATTGATTTTTTACAGAGAGAAAGGGAAAAGAATAGAGAGAATCATCAATGAGGGAGAAACATCAATCAGCTGCCTCCTACACACCTCCTACTGCGGATGTGCTCGCAACCAAGGTACATGCCCTTGACTGGAATCGAACCTGGGACCCTTGAGTCCTCAGGCCAACACTCAAACCAGTTAGGGCTCCATTGACTTTTAGAGAGAATGGAAGAGATGGAGAGACAGAAACATGGATGTGAGAGAGACATCCACCAGTTCCCGCCCACACGTGCCCCCACTGGGGCTGGGGATCAAGCCTGCAACCCAGATACGTGCCTTTGATGGGGATCGAGCCTGGGACCCTTCAGTCCGCAGGCCGGTGCACTAACCACTGAGAAAACTGGCCAGGCAAAAGTGAGGTTCTGAGAAGACCTTGGAGAGTGCCCCTGGTTAGGAGGTGAGGGTAGAGCTGATGGGGGACGAGGGCCTGAACCCCCGCAGCACTCACGGTGGGGGGAAGGGGAAGGGGAGGTAGGAGGAAAACCAGGCACACACCAAGACAACCTGAAGGGAGGGGAAGTCATGAAGGCTTGGCCATGCTAGGGAACCAGGACCAGTTCTCTGAGACGGCCTTCCCTCTGCTCCCTCCCTCCACCTTTCCCACCTCATCCCCCAGCCCTGTGCCCTCCACCCCCCAGCCCTGTGCCCTCCATCCCCAGCCCTGTGCCCTCCATCCCCCAGCCCTGTGCCCTCCACCCCCCAGCCCTCTGCCCTCCATCACCAGCCCTGTGCCCTCCACCCCCCAGCCCTCTGCCCTCCATCCCCCAAAGCTGGCCCCACAGCTGCCAGCACCGACCCGTGTACAATGCGCAGCTTCAGGCTAAAACCCGCTCCTCCTTCCTTAAACTCTGTCCAGGCATCCTGCTGAGGTGGCGGGGCCGGGGAGACGAAGGGGTGTGGGGAGAACAGGAGCAGACCGGCCTCCCGGTGGTCATGAACACCGGCCTGAGGCTGGTGGGAGGCCTGGGGAGTGGCCCAGCCGCGGGGGCAGGTGTGAAACCAGCTGCGCTCGGCCTGGGACTGGGAACCGGAAGGAGACCGTCAGCCGGATCCAGCCCGGCCGGGGTTGTCTTGGAAAGGGTGAGGGAGTGAGAGCTGATGGACAGCCCCCGGGGAGCACAGGCTGGGGCTCCCCGACCAGGGAACGGGGCTCAGACCGAGGGCTCCGCGAGAAAGGAAAGGTGTTGAGGACGGAGGGCGACGGCTGTGATGGGAGAGAGGGCCCTGGGCTCCAGAGGTCAAAGGCGGAGCAGCTAAAAGACCTGAGACTGAGGGATGTGACAGCCGGGACGTGACAGCCAGACGGCATGCTCCCCTGAAGACAGGACTCACTGCGGAGGGGAGGGGCTGAGGCGCTGGGCAGCAGCAGGAATCGGCTCATGAGAAATTCCTTAAACAAAAATGCACCCACAGCCCAGCCGGCGCTGCTCAGTGATTGAACATCAGCCTGTGAACCAGGAGGTCACGGCTGGATTCTGGTCAGGACACAGGCCCCGCTGCAGGCTGGGTCCCCAGTGTGGGGCGTGCAGGAGGCAGCTGATCATGATTCTCTCTCATCATGGATGTTTCTCTCTCCCTCTCCCCTCCTCTCTGAAATCAATAAAAATAAAAGATTTTAGCCGAAACCGGATTGGCTCAGTGAACAGAGCGCCGGTCTTCAGACTGAGGGGTCCCACGTTTGTTTCGGGTCAAGGGCATGTGCCTTGGTTGCGGGCACATCCCCTGGAGAGGATGTGCAAGAGGCAGCTGATGGATGTCTCTAACTCTCTATCCCTCTCCCTTCCTCTCTGTGAAAAAATAAATTAAATATATTTTAAAAAATAAACATAAAAAAATTTTAAATATTGACTTGAAATAAGTTGCCTATGCTACATATTGGGGGAAAAAACTTTACCCACACAAGGCAGAGGTCTGACACGTGACCTTGATTCCCACACTTCCCCGTGGCCCAGCTCAGGAAACGGCTCCACTAGTCACCTGGTTGTCAAAAAGCTCGGAGTTACAGCCAATGCATCACACCCTGTCCGCTCTTTCTGCAAACTATGTCCCACCCCCTCCCACCCCTCCGGTCCCCGGCACCCAGCTGAGACCACCGTCACCTCCCGGATCACGCCTGCGCCGCTCACAGCATCCCGCTCCCACCTGTGTCCTCCCAGGACCCGCTGGCCACACGCCACCTGGAGGCGTCTTGTAAAGTCCCGTCACGCTCTGCTCAAAACCCTCCGACACCACGGTCTCACTTGGGACACACTCTCCAACCCCGTAGCCCGGGCCTCCTGGCTCCATCCTCAGTCCCGCCCACCCCCCCCCGGTCCACTGTCCGTTCCCTCCACACACAGGCCGCCGGCATGCTCTCCCCAAAACACCACACCGCGTGCTCCCCAGATCCGTTCAAGCCTCGGTTCAAACCCCAAGCGTGAGCCTTCCAAATGACCTACACGCCCGACCCGCACAGCGCCTCTGCTACCCGGCACCCCAGCAGGGGGCTGCCACCTTGTTCTGTACTCTCCCGGCACCTCGCCAGTGCCCGGCATGCTGGCACGTCCAAGGCCATCGCCGGGCGCCGGCAAGCTGTCCAGGACAAGGCCAGATTTGGGGACGAGAAGTGACACATCCTCTGTTAGAAAGAGGGGCAGGGACAGGGGATGATGGAGCGAGGCGAGCTAGAGGACAGCACCAGAGGAGAGCAGCTGGTGCAGAGGGCATGGGAGGGGGCCGTGGCGGCAAGACCCCTCCCCCAGGGCACGGGGCTGCGGGAGAGGGGGAGGAAACACCAGGTCTGAGGAAAGGGCTGCAGGGCTAGGCATCAGCTGCTGCAGGAGGTCAGTGATTCTCTGTCATCATGGATGCTTCTCTTCCTTCCTCTCTGACATCAATAAATTATTTTTTTAAAGCAGCGAGGTGCCTTCACCTCCTGAAATGGAACCATGGTCCTGCCTCTCAGCTCGGAGCAGGGAGTGCCCGAATGGAGACTAGCCAATCTCCCCAGATCTCAGCACCACGAAGGCAGGGTCAGCCTGTCCCTCTACGACCGCATCCCGGGCACGGGGCACCCACCTTGCTCGGCACCGGGGACTCGGGACACCACCCTAGGCCCAGGCTTCCTGCCTGGACGCCTCAAGCTGAGCTGGATGCACGGCACCCGGGCTAATCCCAACCTGCTGGCCCAACCCGTTTGGGCTCCTTAAAGAAGTGCTTCTGATGCCGTCAAGACAGACAGGTGAGGCTTGGTAGACACACAGGATGCTATCCCCACCCCACCCCCACCCCACCCCCCCACAGATAAAAGCCTATCAGCTACCTTTACTGACATCCCAGATGATGGCCGTATTGTCCACCGAGGCGGAAGCCATCAGGTTGCCGTCGCTGGCCCAGCAGATGTCGTACACGTCCTCCAGGTGGCCCCTGGGGTCCGAGTGGAGGGTGGTGGGAGAGAGGAGAGAGAGGATAAAACGTTTAAAGGCAAACTGAGGGGCCACACGTTAGGATGGGATGGTAGGAACTACTGCTGGGGCTACCTTAGCGACAGGGACAACCGACCACCTTCACGTCCACAGATATGTCTTTTGCCCTGACCGGTCTGGCTCAGTGATAGAGCTTCGGCCTGCGGACTCAAGGGTCCCAGGGTCGATTCCGGTCAAGGGCATGTACCTTGGTTGCGGCACATCCCCAGTAGGGGGTGTGCAGAAGGCAGCTGATCGATGTTTCCCACTCATCAATGTTTCTCTCTATCCCTCTCCCTTCCTCTCTGTAAAAAACCAAGTTATTTTTTAAAAAAAGAGATATCTGTCTTTACAATTGATTCGATTTTACTTGTTAGCAGAAACTAAGGAAACCCATGTTAACCATGCTTTTCTCTTTTAAAACTGCTCTCTTGTTTCTGTCCCGCTTAAGGACAGTCTCCAGTGAGCTGCGCGGTCCTCGGAGCACGAGCCCTGCCCCACCTCAGCGTCTTCACCACCGTCCAGTTCTCCTTGTTCAGCTCCGCCTCGTCCTCGTCCGGGAAGGCCAGCTGCTCGGGCTCCTTGCTGTCGTTCACCTTCCACAGCAGAATGACTGCATCTGGCGGGACGCAAGGGGACAGGCTGCTCCACCCCCACCTTCGCACCCGGTTCAGGCCCTCACACCCCAGGTGCCTCGTACACCTACGGCCACGGCCATTCACTTCTAACGCCGAGGGGAAGACAGGTTTGCCTGCCGAGCTAAAAGCCCCAATCAAACTCATCAGGTCAGGGAGAGACAAGTCGCCTTAAACAGAAGGGTCCTGACGGGCCAAACACCACTGCAAAGCGGCTCACAAGCCAAAAGGCGGAACCGAGAGAGAACGGAGGAAAGGCAGACGCGCTGGTGGGATAGGTCACTTGGTCACTGCGTCCTCCCCGTATGCCAAGGTGGCAGGTTCCAGCCCCAGCCAGGTCACACACGGGGATGCATCCAACAGTGAGTCATCAATAAGTGGAACAAATCTCTCTCTCTCTCTCTCAATAAATAAAAATGTTAAATAAATTAAAAGGAAAAAAATAAACCAGCAACCAAGAACCACCAACACTATGGATGGCAAATCTTTCCCAGCTGTGCGACCTTCAGCAAGTCACCTGAGACCTCCATCTCCACTTGTAAACTGGGGCTAACAGCCCCAGCAGGTCTGGCTCAGTGGACAGAGCGTCAGCCTGTGGACCGAAGCATCACTGGTTCGATTCCGGTCAAGGGCACGTACCTCTCGGTTGCAGGCTTCTCTCTGGCCCGGGCCCTGGTCGGGCCGGTGCAGGAGGCAACCAATCGATGTGATTCTCTCACTTCAATGTTTCTGTCTCTCCCTCTCTCTTCCATTCTCTCTAAAATCAATGGGAAAATATCCTCAGATGAGGATTTAAGTTTTTAAATAAAGAAAAATGAAATAAAATGGGGATAAAAACAGGGGGCTGTTGGGAGGATTAAATGTGTTAGAAGGCGTGAAGCACTCACAGCACAACGCCCCGCCCGCGGTAAGCCCACGTGTCAGGATTAATATCGTGGAGGCATCTCACACATTAGCCTGACGTCATGGACTGTCTGCTCCCCGACCACTGCGTTCTGAGTCCGCGCACAGTACCATCCGCCCAGAACCGCCTCCCCCTGAGAACTGCCAGAGGCCGGGGACGGGGACCCCCTATGACTGGAGCCCGGAGCCCGGCTGAGCAGGTGCCCCGACATAAGGACAAACTCCACTGCCAACAGCAGGTTCCTGGGCCTCCAGGGCCAAAGGGCTCTGCTGCCCGGGGCAACCTCACGGAAGACTGGGGCCAGGCCGCCAGGGGCGCTCCCCCGCCCCACCCCCACCCTTCCCGTCTGGGCCCACCCTCAGGACACAGGGGCACTGAATTTAACAGCCAGTCTCTTCTCCTCCTGTGAGCGAAGTCTGAGAGTTCTGTTTTACTTTGCACTGGCTTCCAGACTGTTCTAGAGGTAAAGGATGGTAAAAAGACTTACTTTTTTTATATAGTTTGAAGACTAGAGATAGGGAATATAAACTAGAGGCCTAGTGCACGGGATTCGAGAACTGATGGGGGGTGTGGCTCATTGTGGACCCGCCCTCTGAGCGGCTGCTTCCGGGTCTGGCATCTTCCATGGAGCCAGAGCACTCGCCTCTCCAGGGGACCCGGTGGGGACGGGCCCAGGGACAATAGCACGGAGAAGCCACAAACCCGCCTCCCACCTCCAGGGTCAGCAGTGGGTAGAGCGTTGGCCTGGGACTGAAGGGTCCAGGGTTCGATTCCGGTCAAGGGCATGTACCTGGGTTGCGGGCACATCCCCAGTAGGCAGGAGGCAGCTGATGGATGTTTCTCTCTCATTGATGTTTCTAGCTCTTTATCCCTCTCCCTTCCTCTCTATAAAAATCAATATATTTATTAAAAAAAAACACACACAAAAAAACTTGGCTCTCAAAAGAAATTTCAATCGTTGTACTATGATATTTGGCTCTGTTGACTAATGCGTTTGCCAACCACTGTCCTATAGTTACACAGACACGTGGGTCAGACTGTGGTCACTTGTACATTCTACACCGACAATCCAGCGAGGCCGGCACAGGCCTGGAGACTCCGTCAGAACGTGAAACACCTCGTACTGTCCCTGAGCCAGCCCAGGGGAGCACGTGGGCAGGCGGCATTTTCACACAGGTCTTCTCAGCGTGTGTTTGCTGCCCCCACCTGCTTCTGCCCCCCAGAACACGAGTCCGGGACCTCTGTAATAAACAAGCCCTGCCTGGCTCACGCCTCAGGGTTTCACATGACACTCACCGTCTCCTCCGGAGGCCAGGATCTCCCCCGTGGGAGAGAAGCGCACGACGTTGACGGCTTTGGTGTGGCGGGCCAGATTGGACAGGAACTCAACGATGGCCTTCCCGTCCGGGCCTTTCTCCACCTTCCAGACCTGGTGATGTCAAAACAGCCAGAGCCAGAGTGAGCACCCGCCGCTCCGCACCCGGAAATAACACTACGCCCATTGCCAGGAAGACAGCGTAGCTTTCCTTTTGGAACATAAAAGGAATGTGTATCTGAACCACAGACCCACAGTCCCACTGCTGCCTGCCCTCCCTCCTGCCTTGCTCTAGTCCGGACTGTTCCCCCACAGGGACCTGGCTCAGGTAAAGCCACAGGGATCCAAGCCCCTTAATCTAGGTGACCCCAGGAGAAAGCAGCCTTCTTCCGGTCTCACTGCTCCCCCCGCCCCTGAGAGTGGATCCCGCTGGACGAGGTGAGGGAGCAGCTGGAGCTGGTTGGCGTGAGCTTTAAATGTGCGTCTGGAACTGAAAACAGTGTGGCTCAGTGGATAGAGCGTCGGCCTGTGGACTGAAGGGTCCTGGGTTTGATTCCAGCCAAGGGCATGTACCTTGGTTGCGGGCACATCCCCAGTGGGGAATGTGCACAAGGCAGCTGATAGATGTTTCTCTCTCATCGATGTTTCTAACTCTCTATCCCTCTCCCATCCTCTGTAAAAAAATCAATAAAATGTATTAGGGAAAAAAAAAAGAAATAAACGTGAGACTGGAGAACGCTGCCTCGGCGGGGCTTGCTGTGCTGCTGCGGCTGTCCGATCTGCCCTCACCCTCACGGCGGTGTCCACGCCCGCGGACGCCAGCCTGTGGACCCTCCCGGCCGCGCCGTGCTGGAAGTCCAGGCTGTACACCGGCTCCTTGTTGTGCCAGGCGATCTCACAAGTGATGACCTTCATCCTCCCCGTCGTGGCCACCGTTCTTCTTCCAGAGGCACAGGAAAGCTGAAAACGGTAATGAATTGAAGAGGAGAGCGGGAATGTGAACCCTCACGATGAGCCAGAAAGCCTAACCACTAAACACGCACGCGATAGCTTCGTTAGTTACAGCATCATCCCTGATACGCCACGGTTGCCGGCAGGGGCCAGGTCAGGGCACAGCCAATGAACAGTTAACGTAAGTGGCACAACAAATCATGCTTCTCCCTCGCTCTCTCTCTAAAATCAATCAACATTTTTTATTTTCAGTGCACACTGCACTGTGAAGCACGCATATATGTCCTGACACAACACCTTGCAAGTTGCACCTAGAGTGCTCTGTTGAGCCCTAGCTGGTGTGGCTCAGTGGATAGAGCCTCAGCCTGCGGACTGAAGGGCCCCAGGTTCGACTCCAGTCAAGGAAGGGCACAAGCCCGGGTTTGCGGACTCCATCCCCAGCAGGGGATGTGCAGGAGGCAGCAGATCCATGATTCTCCCTCATCATTGATGTTTCTCTCTCTCTTCCTCTCAAATCAATAAAAATATATATTTTTAAAACGCTCTGTTAAGCCCTGACTGTTATGTTTGTTCTCCCGCTACTTGGAAAAGCAAAATGGAACACGCAGGCGGAGAAACCAGGAGGCCGCCAACCGTGCTCCCGCCCCGCTGAGTGGGGACTGGGGGCGCAGAGGGAGCCAGGAGGCCAGCGAGGGAACCCCATGGGCTTCCCAGGAGCCAGGCAGCCTGGAGGAGGGGCTGCGGGAGGAGGGGGCTCCGGGAGGAGGGGCTCCAGGAGAAGGGGCTGCGGGAGGAGGGGGCTCCGGGAGGAGGGGCTCCAGGAGAAGGGGCTGCGGGAGGAGGGGCTGCGGGAGGAAGGGCTGCGGGAGGAGGGGCTGCGGGAGGAGGGGCTCCGGGAGGAGGGGACAAGGGGAGAGGGGGCTGGGAGGAGGGGCTGCGGGAGGAGGGGCTGCGGGAGGAGGGGCTGCGGGAGGAGGGGGTTGGGGGAGGAGGGGCTGCGGGAGGAGGGGCTCCGGGAGGAGGGGACAAGGGGAGAGGGGGCTGGGGGAGGAGGGGTTGCGGGAGGAGGGGGTTGGGGGAGGAGGAGCTCCGGGAGGAGGGGGCTCCGGGAGGAAGGGCTCCGGGAGGAGGGGCTGCGGGAGGAAGCGGGTCACGGAGGAGCCGCCCGAGGAGGAGCCGCCGGAGGAGGAGCCCCAGGAGGAGGGGACAAGGGGAGAGGGGGCTGCCCGGGCTGCGAAGGGAAGGGGCGGAGACTGCCAGGGAAGCCTGCCCCCCAGGGACGGGCCTCGGGGGCAGGGGCCCCTCTCCCGGCCGCAGGGGCAGGACGCCGCCCCGGCAGCCGGGCCGGGGCCGGGGCGGGAACCGGCCGCCCGAACGCGCGCCGCTCCGGAGGCAGCCCGCCCCCGCCGCCTGCCTCAGCGAGAGCCTCTCGCCCCGGCCCGGTTCGGCCCGGTTCGGCCCGGTCCTGCCCGGTCTGGCCCGGCCCAGAGACCCACGGGGCCGCGGGAGCCGGCAGCGCCGAGAACTTACCTGCAGGGACGCGGCCACTCAGCCGCTCCAGCGCGCGCTCCGATTCCCGCGCGCCGCAGGCCCCGCCTCCCGTGGGTGGGGCCACAGGACGCCCCGTCTCCCATTGGGCGGGGCCACAGGACGCCCCGCCCCGGACGCCGAGTGTGGTGGGCCCGCGCCGCTGAGCCGTCCAATCAGGGCTGGCTGGCTCCTGCCGGCTCCGGGAGCGCGCGCTGCGGGAGAAGGGGCGAGTCATCCGTTCATTCCTTCAATCGCTTCTTCCCGAGCTGGTTCCTGTTTTCTGCAACCTCGGCCGCACGCTGAGGCCGACTCAGACCTGCCCTCGGGGAACTTAGAAAGGGCGGTCCTGCCAGACAGGAACTGAGACCGCCCCGTCTTTGTTTTTCACGGGTGCAGCGAACTTTGAGCTGCAGCCTGTATCGGGCCCTGCCTTAGTCTCCAGAATTTCAATGAAAGACTATCCTCGACCTCCTGTAGTCACGTACGCGAGCAATTATAATAAAAAGGTAAAGTGGCCCCCCTCCGGACCACGTACTGTCAGCAGCAGCATCTGCACATGAGGAATGTGGGGCCCAGTGTCAGCTCGGGAGCTTTTACTGAGTTTGTAGCCTTAGCTGACTATATATATTATATATAGTTTGTTGGGATTGAGGACTGTCTTCTAATGCTGTTTTGTTTTTTAATTAGATTAAGCAACACCGCCCTCTTACACTAACTAGCCTTTTACAAATGTAACAAAAAAGATAGGTTCCTCTACCCACATGGAGTATGTGTCATGAGAGTCCAAAAGGCCTTTGGTCCAACTCCTTAGCCATCTCTCTCTCCAATGAGGCAGCCAGGCAGCGCCTGCAATGCAGAGATGCAGATCTTTGGGAAGACCTTACTAGGAAGGCCACTGTCCTTGAAGTCGAGCCCAGTGACATCATCCAGAATGTCAAACCTAAAACCCATGACAAGAAGGCATCCCTCTGACCAGGAGCGTCTGGTCTTGTGGGCAAACACCTGGAGGATGACCCAACTCTGATTCCAACATCCAGACAGAGCCCTGCACTCGCACCTCCTTCCACCAGCTCCAGCAGAAGTGAAACTGGGCAAAACGACCAGCCTGAACCCCGTGCTGTCAACCGTCTCCAGAAGTGCGGCCGCACCAACAACCTGCCCCACAGAAGAAGGCTGAGGCCCCTCCACCACCTCCTCAGCCCACAGGCGGCTTCTGCTGGACTCCTGGGACCCTGAAGCCTCACTAACGTCGCTCTTTGTTGACTAGAGCAGTTAAAAAACATCTAGCCATATCTTCAAAAGAGCCCTATCTTAGCAACATTTTCTTAAAGGATGAAAAATATGTAAATACTTCCCCATTAAAACAGATAATATCCATAACATGCATTTTTTGCAAGAAAAGGAAAAAATAGCAAATTCCAGAATGGCTGCATAGATGTTCACACACGTGGACCGCTGTCATTTGGACAGCTTCTTTAGTCCGAATGGTACAGACACACACTTCTCTGCGGAGTGCAGCTACAGCACTCACGCTCACACTCACTCACTAGCTCGGTCTGAGTCTAGTGGAAGCAGTCCGAGTCTCCTAAGCTGAACTGTAGTAAAATGAGCTCAACCTTAGGGTCCTTAAGGAACACAATTTTAGTTTTCAAAATATAATTTGAATGCAGAAGTCTTTAAAAGTAATATCTGAAGAGTTAGGCATCATATATATTTTTATTTTATTATAAGAACTTTTAAGTTTTGGGCAGATACAATTGTGACAGAAAACCAGCTTCATACCAAAAATACACTTTCGATTTATCAAGCAAATAAAACAATCTTCATTTATTTGCTTTTTCTAGAACTTAATGTACAGTAAAAATTTGATATTCTATATGATAGATGTAATTAAACATACATACAAAAAAACATGTATTGAATGTTCAAAAACAAAAGTAAAAATAAATAGCAATGATAAAACATTGGAAAAAATAATGCACATTTCAGTTGTGGAAAATTAATTATATATACAGTTAAACTTAATAGAAAGCCATCTCTTTAAAATTGCACAAAACAAGGGACCAAAAAAAGCATTAATTTATGGCATGTGATACTGTAATCTTCGGGCGATTTGTTGCTTTACTCCAGGACATAGAACACTTCATCTGTAACACAATGAAAGGTGTGCAGTGGTGTTTGAGAAAGATTGTCTTCCCCAACGCACACTCACCTGTAGTGATCCTATAAAAAAGGCTGCACGGGAAATTCATTCAAAGGAATATTAGCAATTATTGTGCCCACTCCATGCTCAGCAGCCAAAAATGGGCACGTAAACATGGTCAGACAGTTAATATACTTGATAATTTTTTATACTGAAGATTATTTCTTTGTTGTATAAAAACACTTGAGCCGAGACCGGTTTGGCCCAGTGGATAGAGCGTCGGCCTGCGGACTGAAAGGTCCCGGGTTCGATTCCGGTCAAGGTCATGTACCTTGGTTGCGGGCTTATCCCCAGTAGTGGGTGTGCAGGAGGCAGCTGATTGATGTTTCTCTCTCATCGATGTTTCTGGCTTTCTATCCCTCTCTCTTCCTCTCTGTAAAAACTCAATAAAATATATTTTTTTAAAAACACTTGAACGATGATTGGCTATCTTAGCACAGAAAATATCCCGGCAAAATGGATGGAGACAGTTTCTGCTTACCTTATTTTCATGAGAAAAAAATATTCCAGGAGATAAGCACTTATTGAAAAGAAACATTAAAGCTCAATTCACTTACAACTTATCAGGAGTTCGCCCATTTTTTACAAATGCCGATTTAACTTCTCTGTAAGGAAACCAAAGGTAGCATTCCCATTTGCATTTATGTATGGCACAGTCCTCACTTCAGATAAAAATACTTTGGGAAACCAGGAAAGATTGCACAAGGTTAGGGGCAACCTGAAAACCTCTTGGTGAAAAACACTTATGTCCTTTGGGGCAATAAAAAAATATGTGCAGACTTAGTTACAAATATTTACATTTTAAAACAGAAACATGAGTTAGCTATTCAGTTGCTCAATATCAATGATTCACAGGCATTTCAAACGGTGTGACAATGTGTCCGCATGTCTGGCCACATTTGAATGCATAGGATACAGGAAAGATTATGGTCCTTCAGTCTGCCACCTATCACACATCTATAAAACAAAATGATTTACATTCTGACAGCTTGACAACCAAAAGGACTGAGCAAACAGTTTTATTATCTCGCATAATACAGACTTTAAGAACTACTGATTTCACTCATTTGTTCAACAACTTGTCCTAAAATCTCATCGACAACATCAACGTCATAATTCACTTGCTGCAGATCGAGGTCAGGTACAATCATGGCCAGCAGTTGTCCCACGTTAACTCGGAGAGATCGCAGTTTGAAGCTGCAAATACAAGTGTTACATTTATTTAAAGAAACAAAAACCAAATATTACCTTTAGTAGATAAACAGTGCAATACAGTTTAATATCCATGTAGGGCATAATGCTTAAGGGGAAATTAGTCCACCAATTTAATCACTATAATTCAATGTAATAATTATGTATCTATTGGTAGTCAGTAGTGTTTCATAACACTAGTGGCTCTTTGGCTCCAACGTTTAGAATTCTGACTTGAGCCTGGAGAAAACATGGACTGGCAAAATACATCTCCAAAACACAGTGACAACAGCGAGCATCCTGGCTGGTGTAAGAGTAAGAGTGCATCTCTGACTCCGCCGCCTGTGAAGAAAGAACTGTTCCCTAGCAGACATTCTGTGAGCTATCCGTCACTGTGTAAGAGGAGAAAGAAATGGTTCTGGGCCTAACCGGTTTGGCTCAGTGGACAGAGTGTTGGCCTGCGGACTGAAGGGTCCCAGGTTCGATTCTGGTCAAGGACATGTACCTTGGTTGCGGGCACATCCCCAGTAGGGGGTCTACAAGAGGCAGCTGATGGATGTTTCTCATCGATGTTTCTAACTCTCTATCCCTCCCCCCTTCCTCTATGTAAAAAAATCAGTAAAATGTATATTATAATTTTTAAAAATGGTTCTGTGATCAAAGATGCTCATAAAACATTGGGTTAATTAATGCTAAACAAGACTTTTTAAAATGCAAGAATTCATGCTAAAGGTCACTGACAATCCATTTTTCAAATGCATTTACAGGAAACCAATGTCTCTCTCTCACATCGATCTCTCTCTCTCTCTCTCTCTCTCTCTCTCTCTCTCTCTCTCTCTCTCTCTCACCCCTCCCTTCCTTTCCTTTCCACTCTCTCTAAAAGCAATGGGGAAAAAGTATCCTCAGATGAGGATTAAAAAATAAATAAAAAATCATCAGTTACTCAAAGGTTAGTGTGCGAGAGTCATCTGCAGTGCTTCAGTGTCCAGTTTAATAACCTGCACTGTGGCCCACGGACCGATATTTCTACAAGCAACATGGCTGCTGTGGTTCCGTTCTTAGAAACACCAGCGGGGAGTTTTTCCTGAGCCCTTCCCTCCAGCTTATGTGCAGCACTCCACACAACAGATTTAGTGAAGTCCTTCAAAACTTATGCTAGAAAACAGTACTAATACAATTCATGGTCAAGTGAGGGTAGTAGCTGATTTCTCAATAGCACCTTTTAGCTCTGAAGTCCTAGCATATTAGCAAAAAAGTGGCACAATCTTAGCCCTGAATGTCTGTTTATGAATGGCAAACCATCAACACAGCACCAACACTGTCCCCCACCACCTGAACATATCCACTCTCAAAAACAAAACAAATCAAAACAGAAACCCAGTTCCATTTTATACGTTACTGAGACAGGGTGGGGTAGTCATTCATTTGCTCTTTTCTGATTTTCACAGAACTTCTTCCTAATGATCACCTGTACTAAGGCAATTTTTAGTAACGGTGGGATTTCCCAAAAGTTAAGATGGGGGAAGGCACATAGTAGTAAGAGGAGGATAGCAGACCTTAAAGAAATGGTGCCAAATACAAAAGTAAAAGAAATCAAACATTCCAAACCACTCTGACCAATCCAGAGCCTCGGTCGTTGGAGCTATTTCACTTAAGTTGGATCTAAACTGTTAGCCTCTGAGGGAAGG